GTCGGCACCAATGAAAATGTGATCTCGCATACCAGATGACTCTACAGAAGAAAGTCTATAAGGTGCTTGGAGACCTGGCCTGGGTCCTAGCTTTTACAGTAGATAGTATCTAATTAATGACAGTGAACACACTGAGTAGCTGCTATTTCTACGATATATTTCAGAAGTTGTAGCAGCAACTACAGCAAATATTTAAGTACTTAACTCTGTCACCCCACAAGAAATAAGCTATCTACTGATAAGTATTTTGCTGAAAATATATATATTCTTGCGTCTACCCATTTTCCCTCCCCTCTCACCTTGTCTAGCAGGTGGCTGCGTCCAGTCTTCGCCAAACTTGTCTTCGAAGTGTCTTCCTTGGTAGTATGTTTGCTCTTTCTCTGAAAACTACACAGATATAAATACATACACAAAGAAAGACAATTATTGTCTCTCATTTCATCATCTTTGAAAGCCATCCTATAGTAGTTGGGGCCTTATGATGGGCCGGTTTTGCCCTGTAGCACACCAAATTTTCTCATCATGCGCCATAGCACACATTACATTTGAGAAATAAGTTTCTCTCAATCTAAGGAAGAGTCTACATTTCTAGTCAAACTGTGCCTATCTTCTGTTTGCATTACCCTTACCTTTCATCCCTAAGTGTGGCCATACATTGAGCTCATCCAGATGCAGTGACACCACTGCATAGCTTGAACCAAATTTCACTTACAATATCTACATGCCAGAATATACTTCCCAACCAAACACATCTGCCCATAATCTGTTTATGCTTGGGCAAGTCCACCCAACACATCCCAGACTATTCTTTCTCACGCTGAGATTCTTTATTTCAGTGGTTTTTGTGTGTGACGATTTTATGGGTATTACCATCCTTCATGTGAGGTAAGTGATGTTTTCTTTTTTTAATTCCCTAAAAGAAAATGGAGATATCATAACTCTTCCTAGAATTTTGAATCGAAGGGAGAGCCAAGTGAATGAGTAAAATGAAAAGCTTCCTAAAACATTTAGTGCTTTCAAGGCCCATGTCCACAATCTTTCAAGGACCCGTTCGTGAGAAAGAGATGGACAAGGAGAAAGAGGTGGGCAATGGAAGGAATTTCTAGCACAAAGGAGTCACATTTTCCCATCGTCATCTCCCAGCACAAAGTGAAGCTAGGACAGGTAAGACACATTTTCAAGGAAAGAGGCAGAGACAGTGAAAGGATGCTGGCAGAGAAATACTGAATCACCGCACCTACAAAGCTAGAACTGACCCTTCGTTTTGAAGCCTGAACTCTGGGTTGCAAGTACCCAGAAGGGGGAGGAAAACAACAGAAAGCCATCCAGTGGTGGAATTTCTCCCCTAGCTGGATTAAAAAGTTGAATTTTATTTCACGGTGCACTCAAATGAGCTGTTGGCCCTTTGGTGTTTCACAGTTAAGTATCTCCTTAATAAATTCACTCAATACGTTCAAACTTTGCTGACTCTGAATACTTTGTTAATAAGAACTGACAGAATTGAAGCTTGAAACCTTGAGTCACCTGGTAATAGATCTCAAAAAATCCCAGGCCTTTAAAACGTCTTGAAATTGCTCCTATTGAAAAATGAGGACCTAATGCCAGGGGCTTAAGTGGAGAGGAAATGTTTTAAGAATGATGAGGGCAGTGAATGTACAAATGCGCTTTACACAATTGATGTATGTATGGATTATGATAAGAGTTGTATGAGCCCCTAATAAAATGATTAAAAAAAAAAAGAAATCTCTCCTATTATTATGACCATAGTATTGTGGAAGGGCATGAGATCAAAGGTGGAGTTTTGGATCGAACATGCACAGATCCCCTGCAATAGCTTGGGACTACATTTCCCAGAAACCTTTGTTACACCTGGTGGAATTTCCTTTTCCGTGTGAATCTTTAAAAGTCTGTTTTCACATAGGCAGGAAGAAACTGAAGCAACATTACTTGCTGGTGGAGTGATCTCTCTCTCCCGGCAGATTCTTAATAAAATTTCTCTTTATGAAAACCCCATTCTGTGCTTCTCAAAGTAAATCTTAATTTTGGGAAGACAGGAACCCGAAGCTCCAGTAGCAGTATGATAGAATTTTTCCCACAAAGGGAAGCCTCAGACTCATATCACACGAATCAGAACATAGCTTCAGGCCATTTTGACTAATGCCTCATAATATTCAAGAAAACAGCTCTCCTATTTGTGAAATCCAAATTTCTTCTGTCAAGAGAAGACAGAAAATCCACCTGGAATAAAATGGAAGGAAATAAAGTTTATCCACCATTAAAGAAAAAAGCTGTAAGATTTACCTGAGCCACGTCAGGAACACGGGGTCTAATGTTCTGTGGGGTGTTCTGAAACCCCTTTAGAGCTGACACGTTATTTGGAATGCTATTGTAGTATGGATGGTCAGAGTCGTCTCCTTCTTCTTCGTTCCATGGCTCATCTAGACTCTGCATTCTGTAAAATGAATATTTTCAAAAGCTTCATCAACTTTTCATCAACATCAACTCAAAGATGTTCTAACATTGACTGTGGTAATGATTATACAACTCTTCTTGACATGGCTGGACTAGTGAATTGTATGTTATGTGGATTATGTTCCAATGAAACATTTTTTAAAATGGAGCATTTAAGCTCTGATCCACTCCCTCCATCATATTTGGATTTTGTTATTTAAAATCCTTGGGTCCCACAAGTTGATGTGCTTCTCTATGTGGACTTAGTTGACACCTCACTGAGATGGATGCTTGTTGGAAGACATGCCTTTAAGATCCAGACACTGTTCTTTCTACTAGGTGGATACCATCTGCCTTCTTACAGCATTAATATTTTCAGTGATCTCTTCATGAGGGTGCGTAGGACGAAATGAGTATCCAACATCAAGTAGAACAATAATAAAAACAATCATTGTTCTTAGTTTGGGGTTAAAATTAAGTGTGATCCCCAATCCATTCATATGTTTATGGTTTCTATATGTCTCTGGTACATTTGAGACATCATTATCATTTTATGATAGAGAATAGTATCAATCATCTGCCTAGGTCAAAAGGTAATTCCACCAATAATGTCATTAATTTAGCCAAGAGTACTGAGTTTAAAACAGTTGAGAAGAGGAAATTATACAAGTATTGGCAAGCAAATCTGAGGAGGGAATGGTTTCAGAGCTTAAATTCTGAACACCCAATTTTTAGAAGGCTATGGATGACAGTGGATGCCCAAAATCCATTTGCAGGGTCCCCACATGGATTAAGCCTCCAGGGAATGCCATCTGGCCACACTCCAGGGATATGAAGAGCCTTGCTACCAGACTGAGAGCATTGCAAAGTCAACTGTGGTAGATGTAGTTAGGTTAACATAGAATAGCTAATAACTTGATCTTTTATTATTTTCTGCTAGCTTTTCAATTGAGGTTTTCCTCAACAGTTGCAGTCTCAGAAACTCACAGGGGCAGGTCTACCCTGGCCTGTAGGGTTGCTCTGAGTTGGCATTGACTCAATGGCAGTAAGTTTAGTTTGGTTTTTGGACTCTACGATTAAGAGCAAATGTCAGTGTTTCTTCTGACATCCACTTTGATCTTTACTTTCTTTCCTGTTGTTTTTAATGACCCTTTCCTTCTTCACAAATGACATTCCTGATGTTCTCCAACATTTCATCAGGTCTTCAAGGAAGCAAATCTGTTCTTGGGATGGTCTTGACATTCATGTGGGATAGACCTCACGATCATGTTTTAGCCTTCATGGGCTTGTTGTAATTTTCTTCAGCTTCAACTGGAACTTCCATATAATAGTTTGGTCCACAATCAGCCCCGGGCCTGGATTTAATTGCTGATATTGAGCTCCTCCTTCATCTCATCCAACAGTTGTAGTCAATTGTATTTCTTCTATTCCACCAGGAGATGTCCAAATGTGTAGTCATCATGTGTATATTTGGGAAAAAAAGTATTTGCTGTAAACAAGTCATTGGTCTTGCAAAACCCTTTTGTTTTATTCCCCAGTTATGGGGTTTATTAGGGAAGTAATAGGTTACAACTGAGAATCAGAAATGCTCAGAGTACAGTTCTTCCATCAAGACAGCCACCCTTTAGCCATGCCTTCAGGCATCTCTCTCATCAGTCCTTGGTCCCTTGGATGGCACCCACCGCACTGGGGAGTGTTACAAAGGTCTTTTAGCTCTACCAGTAAGCACACAGAGGCACCCCTCCCCTCCACCAGCAAGCCTCCTTCCAGAAGGCACTCAGCTGTCTTACTCCATGGTTTGGGAAGGTCATTGCTCTTTACCCCATTCTGCGACTGATGTGGTTTCTCTGCTTCTGCTTCTCACGTCCTTCACCGTCTCTGGCGCCACAGTTCTCTGTCTCTCAGATAGAGGAGCTTCAGTGCAGGGACTGTAGGTTCAAGGGCGCATCCCCCTTGTGGTAATGAGATTTCCATTTCCAATTCAAATTCTGTGCTAGCTACTGCTGCTATGACAGAAGTACCACTGTGCTTGCATGGATTTAACACATTGGAATTTATTTTCTCTCAGTATAGAAGGTTGAAAGTCTGACGCCAAGGAGCTGCCTCCAGGGAAGGCTTTCTCTCTGTGATCTCTGAGGAGAGTCCTTTTCTCTTCAGCTTCTGCTTCCTGGTGTCATGGAGACCATGTGGGTTAGTATTGGTCTTTCTCCATCTCTGCTTCCAAGCTCTTAAAGATGACGGAATTATTGACTGTTGTGTGAATTATGTGTCCAGAAAACCTTTTTAAACATTGGAACATTTCTTTTTTCTTTCTTTTTTTTCTTAATGGAACGTGTCTTACACAGAAAAATGTCAAAATAAATACCTCTAAGGAATATACCCTACATACAAGCCATTAATAATAGAAAAAAGGCAAAAATTTCCAGTATCCTTTTTTTTAAAACGGAATTCTAGAAATTAATCATTTATAGTGCTGGTGCTAGCGATGAATATTGAAAGTACTGAACAAATAAATCTGCCTTGGAAAAAGTAGAAAAAGAATGCTCCACAGAGGTAAGGATAGTGAGATTTCACCGCACATACTTTGGACAGGTTGTCAGGAGAGACTGGTACCCAGAGAAGGACATCATGCTTGATAAGGTAGAGGGGCAGCCAAGAAGAGGAAGCCCCTCTATACGATCAATTAACATGGTGGCCATAATGATGGGCTCACACATGGGGCAGATGTGAAGATGCAGACCCAGGCAGGGTTTCTGTTTGTTGCACATGAGTTGCCACTGACTTGACAGCCCCTAACAACAACAGAAACAACACAGAGGCTTACCGTATTCCGCAATGTGTTTATTGAGGAAAAACGTAAAATTGCAATGTTAACTTTCTCTGTTCCCTGGGTAGCTATGAAAATTAACAATCCATATTCCCATTGAAAGCAGCAACCTGAAGCCATCATAAAGGATAGAAGGTGACATCGTTTTTCAAGGTCTCATTCCCAGAAAACTGTCCTTGTTTGCTTTTTCTGGTGCGTCCCTGTGACAAAGACGGGGAAAGCTGCCTAACTGGTGTGTCTGCAGTGTCCCCACCTATCAGAAACAAGGAAGCTGTGAACCTGGCCACTCAGGACTTGTCAAATAAGGACATAGTGAAGGCCCACCTAACCTTAAAGCAAGAGAAAAAGCTTCAGCCCTGAGTTCGACTGCCCCTGCCAGACATAAAAGAAGGACCTGCCGGTTCCTGGTGGGGTCTTCCTACTTTTGCCCTTTTGGTGGCGTAGATGCTCTGGGAGCCTGTCCCCAGTATGTCCTGCCTTTTTTGCTTAATAAACCTGCAGTGCCACTTCCTCCCACCTGTTTGTTGGGTCTCAGCATTGTGATAGCACTGGGAGCCTCCTGGGAAAGGGGTCATCATAACCGAACATCTGAAATACCCTACTCCAAAAACTCAAGAAAAACATATTTTTACTGTCATCAAATTGATGTCAACTCCTAGTGGCCCTATAGGACAGGATAGAACTTCCCCTGTGAGCTTCCAAGACTGTAACTGTCAACGAGAGTCGAAAGCCTGGAGAGAAAAAAAATCTAATTTCCACTATTGTCATATTATTTTATTTATAGCTTTTTATGTCAACAAACCTTTTTGAGACATGCAAAGAAATAAGAAAGTACGTTTCATACACAGGTAAGAGGCTATCAATAAAAACTGTTCCTGAGACGTTCCTAGGGGGCTGTTGACAGATTGAAGTGTTAAAAAAGGAACTCTTTGGATTTTTGAATTTTGAACTAGTGGTTTTTGTCAGAAGCTGGAAAAAAATCTGGAACCATGAAGAAAATCCATCTCTGGGACTGAACGTTAAAGGGAGCCTGTGGGCAGGCTGAAATGCTTGCTAGGAGACCACCTGGATAGATCCACTTGTTGAGTGGAAGGGGGAGAAATGCAGCAATAAAGAGACAGGTTGAGTCTGGCCACTGACACCCATGAACCTTGTTTACAGGAACTAGAGGAGAAGATGAGAGCGGATTGGCTGGTCTGAAGTTTAGACTTGTGTGGAACCTGAGCCTATGGCATGACCTAGCCCAAGGGGGCTGGGTTTGGCGAGAATTTTTGATGGGGCCATGGTCTAAAGGCAAGACGACCAATGGGCACCTTGGTGAGGCTAAGTGAGGCAGCCCATACTGAGGTGACGACAGCCTGACCAGATGAAGAGAAGGATTTTGAGCCTGTGAGCTGGCGCATATTGCTGCTGAACTTATGGATGGCCTGTCTTGATTTGACTTTGTTTATAGATGTGGGCTCACAAGGTTCCAATAGGAATGAAGAGTCTTCACATCAAAGAACATGATTGTCTCCTCAGAGCACGGGGTTGATGTAAATGGGCAGTATAGAAATTAGATACCCAAAATGGGGCATAAAGTCATGAAGTGGTTGGCTTAAAAACTTTCATAGGTGGGAGAATATATTCATAGGGTTATAGGATTATGGTGTAGGTATTTATTTAACTGCAATTATTAGGCATAAAATATTGTGTTGTTCACTTATAGAATATTATGTTTAAATGAAGCTTTGGCATATATTGAATTATATGCATTTTAATTTTATCCTGTTAGGTACAGATATGACTTTATTATTTTATTTTAAAAATATATATAGCTAAAGAGTTATATAAAAGTGTCAAGTTGGCAAGGGATAGCCTGTGGCAGTTACATAATCTCCTGTCAACTTGCAAATTGTCAGTCAGGCCATAGCCAATGAGGCCTCCATATGGGCATGACCTTCTCCTGAGGATTCTGGAAACTCCTGTCTTTCTCCCTGGAGTCAGGACACTCTCTGCTTCATCTTCCTGCTTACAAGACACATGGAGCTACACTAGAGCTCTGGAGCTGAAGGAGTCACATGGAGACCCCTGCCAGCGCTGAGATACATACAACGCCACTGGATCCACAGGACTTTCCACCCACTGGCCTGGGAGCTTCCTGCATTTGACATTATTGCATGTTTTGTATGAGT